GCATACGCCCGGTGAGGCCTGAACTATTGCGTCACAGGACGATTGAATGTTGATGGTGCATTTGGCAACCCTTGGAGCATCACCATCTACTCCCAGAGCATTCTGCTCGGAGTACTCACCGCTGTCAGCGAATATCATTCGCTCTCATGAGCAATTGGTAATGACCGACGACCAAGTTGAGTGCGCTGTACATTGTACAGACAACCGTATTGTCTGGAGAACATCCGTTTTAGGAATTCGGCGTCTTTGCCGGAATAATGGCAGCGTTTAGCGTATTGTAAGCGTGATCGATACACCACTTGCTGTTCAGCTTCACAACACATAACGTGGGTGTCAAATGAAGAGACTTGCTCTCATTCAACATTCCTGCCTCGTGCTTCGCATGGAAAAATGCGTCAATGACGTCACACTGCTCCTTGGGCAAAGGCCATTGGCGTGTTACGCAGTAATCGGTTGCCGAAACCAGATCAATCTCATGACGCACACCATGGTCCGGAGGTAGGACCGACGACGGGTCTTTGGAGACGAAGTCCTGAAATTCTTTTATCACAGTATAGTACAGATTCGAGGGATCCTTCAGGATCAACGATCCACTTCGTGCGTTCAGTACCCCTTCGTGGCCTCCAAGACAGCTTCATCCAGAAGCGACGACAAATAAATCTCCTCGTTTGGTCGTATAACGACCATCTCGGCTAAATCGCCTCCCTTCAAGGCACTGCCAAACTCTTCGAAGGACATCTCGTCAAGCTCAAAAAGCTATACACCGCGAAAATAGCCTCGAGGGTGATGTCGCCGTCTTTCACTCCCATCATACCGTTGACAAGAGTGTTTAGCTATGCGCTATCATCATCAGTATACACACCCTACGTCAAGATCAACGCCCTGTGTCTTAAAGACAAGATACGGCATCGCCGTCTGCTTTCTATCAAGGTTTTACGTCTCATCGAGACCAGTGGGAAACCGCGCTCAGCGTCGTCAAGTGTCCCCACTTCGTGCTCCATCGGAGCCTTGATGTTAGTAACAACATCCGACGAAGGGCTGCTAGTTCCACAGTCTTCGTCCAGTGGATAACGTGCCACTCCAGCGCTTCAAAGGGCCTTGCCTAAAATGCCTCGAACCTCGTCTGACACATGCCACTCTTGGTATGCAGCAACTGCTTCGTAACGTGAGCAGTGCTCAGTGTGCCACAAGCCACTCCACATGCATCACAAGGGTCTCGTCTCCGACGCCTCGGCCCTTGGCCGACCGTGCCACTCTTGCTTGCAGCGACTCCTTCAATATTTGAGCAGTGCTCAGTGGGCTACGTGCCACTCTACGTTCAGCCCGCGAGCCATGCTCGGAGCTCCTGTCTAATACACCTTCGGTGTTCGACAGCTCGGACACTCCGATATCCAGCACATTGACCGTTCTGATCCAGTGCTCACGCCAATAGCGCTTCTGCTTCCTAGCAGAGGTAGGTTCATGAGTCACCAAAGCTTCATCAGGAGACGTGCGCGTAGCGCCAAAGGTCATCGACCTTCAATCAATTCATGGCTCGTGGTTTTCCAACCATGCCCTACCAAGGATGAGGCCATACCTTGCATCCAAGTCTAAGACTAAGTAGCTTTCCACGCTATCGAAGTCAAGAAACTTGGCACCGAGGTCCACAGGGACCCTCGGCACAGTGACACAATTTCCCGTCGCTAAGCAAACAGTGACGGCGCGCTTTCAGCGCCTCAGCATACAGCTGACTTCCTCCAATCGTGGATCGTCGAGCATGATAGCCCGACGGTCCGGAATCGATAAGGAAATTCCATGGCTTCTCAAAGCCCTTCACGGTTGCTTTCACCACCAGAAAGCCTGGCTTGCATACACGTTTCTTGTTCAAGAGCACGGAGCTCTTCAGGGCTGGGCTCAGCTGCCCTCTACCTCTTTGAGGCTTGGTTTACCTCAGTAGAGCACCCCGCGCGTTCTGGGTGACTCGTTTCCCTGCGTCAAACCAGACTGGTTAGAATTGGGATGTCGGTTCGACGAACCTTTACGCGCCTTGCGCAGGGGACAACCAGTCCATAGGTGACGGGTGTCTCCACAGACAAAACACCGTCGGGTGTTTGAAGCTGCTCGGCAGCTTGAAGCTATTCCTCCTCTTTCTCAGCATGACTGAAAACCATTGGCTTAGGCCCGCTCGATGAGCTCTGCGGGTGTGCATTCCAACCAAGTCGCGCCGACTTAAAGTTTCATCTAGCATTCAATGCCACTTTCACCGCTTCTTCAAAAAAAAAGACGGATGCACACGGAAGACTTTCACTCTGGTCACGGCAGTGCGGAGGTCCTCCATAAAGACGATCACTGCGACGGCCTCGGGGAGAGGATGTGCTGCCATCTCGGCAATGAGAGTTTTTATCCTTTAGACAAAGTTCACCAACTCCTGATTGCCCTGTCGGGCGGCAAGGAAATGCGATCACACGCGATATGCCTGGTCAGGCGGCGAGAACACTAGCAAAAAGTGACAGTTTATCTCTTTTCAGGAGGGGAATGCCGCTTCAACCGAAGTACCACACGTGAGTGCCCATTTGTACGCTCGGCCTCCGAGCTTGGAGATAGCTAGCGCCACAAGCTGTTGCTCGTTCTGGAGCAAGGCGAATGCCAAAGCCATCTCGGCCCCTCTTATCCAGAGCAGGAGATTCACCACATCCTTACCCTCGAGGTTCTTAACGCTCACTATGAGCGGCCTGGGTCAGAAGGAGCCATCCGTCGTCGACGGTGGCGTCATGGACGCAGTCGACACCGACAGCTTCTGCTGTAAGTGCTCTAGCAGAACATCTTATTAACTTGCAAACGCCTCTGGACGCACGGCTATCGCTTCCGACGATTGCGAAACAAGCTGTTCCACACCATCAGGTCCCAGCAGGGACATCAGCTTATTAAACCCGTCTTGCAAGCCCTGGGGCAAATAGGAGTATTGGTCCATCCTCATAGAGGATCAGTCGTAACAATTCAGGCGTTGATTGGCTACGAGTTTTAACCAAATGCAGCGGGGCTGTCGTAGCTCTGCTTAGAGGAAGCTAAGCTAAGATCACCGACCTTACGTTCTATACAAGAGCCAGTACGTTCGTAGCGAATCACAATCCGCTACCTACCTAAAACCTTAACCAAGGCAAATACGCTCATCCCTTCAAAACTGAGCCGAATTTTCGGTTTTTCCAGTCAAATAGTAAAATTTAATTAGTTTGTAATACTACTGGCAGTCCTGTTATGAAGTGGCTTCTTGTTAAGGTATAGCCACACCATGTGTGATTACGCCAACTTGTGTAATCCACAAATATGTACGGTCAAGCCATCTTGTGTGATCCGCCCTTTCATACAAGGGTATGTGTAACTTCGTTACAGATTCTCTGCTAGGTCATCAACAGAGTTCGGCTCTATAGGGCCTTCATCGTGCAATTAACGGTGTCAAATATCGCATTTGCTGTGGCAACGATTGATCAACATTATCCTGGTAGCCTAACATGATCGACCCAAGGCATGTAAGAAAATCATAATGCTGGAGCTGTAATTTCATCAGGAACATAAAGCAAGCCAACGCGGTCATCTTGAGGTATTTACTTTTCATTTTTCAAATCAAGGTCTCAAGTTTTCGTAAGCTTGCAACTTTGTTCGCAATGGATCCAAAATCGCCCTGAAAAGAATTTTGACATGTAATTAACAACCAGATTGATTTGATGCACAAGCATTTCGTCCTGTAAACTAGGAAACGAACATTCACGTTTTGGCTTTGTCGTTAATATCTCGATCTGTTCGTTGTAAAGTTTGCCCCATCAGATACACCTTTTTCTTTCAGGATGGGCACAAAACATAAAGATTTTTCATAGTGAGGCCATAGATGCTTACGATTAGGAAACTGTCAAACGCTGCAACGTGGATATTATAAAGACGATTACAATGATAAAAGTGAATCCGTATCGCCAAGTAATGAACACAACGATGCACCAAAAATTCAAGGGCAATGGAAAAACCAGGTCCGTCATGAGTCTCAAACATCTTGTTTGACATCATAAGACTGTTAGCAACAAAAATCGGAACTTTTGCTTCTGAAATAGCCCGAATTTTGCTGACCCCTACGAACAGCTTTGATGATCTGTTACGATAGCCTGTGCAGCGACGAGGTGGATTTGAAGCAAGCTTTTGATTTGGACCGTAAATTGCTGATCAACTCCTAGCCAGAAACACGATTGGATAGTGTAGCACTTGTTATTGTGACACAGAACCGTTATCTTCTGGGTTGTAAATTATATCCTCTGATTACTTTGATACAACCGCTATGAACAGCGAATAAAGAATGCTATTCTCTAAAGCCAAAATGAGAATGCAAAGTGTTAGCGTGCGGCTCAACACTATCAAAAACAATTGCATAGGCGTCTCAATTGAGAACTTAATAGGCAGCCCACTAAATTGCATACCGCCCCTGATGGTGTCTGATAAAATTAAGAACGCTCAGGTCTCCCCAACAGACAATTTTCCATAATTACGCAAAACTGGCAACAAACTCAGACGCTTCGCTTGGTGACTCAATCAATTGACAGGCTAAAACGACGTGTGGCCCATTGGCAAACGATTGTAGGGATGTGAAACCGCGATGACTTAATCTGACACAAGTAGACGTTGCACTATTATACTCTTTGGCTAAACTTTTTGTAAACTCTGATATTTTTTAATGAAAATCCTTGCTTCATTTTGCGAATTTTGGCTGCCAAGATTAAAGACACTTACGTATATTTGAGGATATTCATAGGATAAAGGGCTCAACAAAGTGCATAAATAATCCTTTGCATTACATTGGCAAATTCGGTCCATCCAAGAGCGTGGTTGTACCCTGGTCAAGGTTACATACTTTGTGCTCTAGTGGGATAATTTGTGGTGACGGCCACAAAGTGGGTCGCCATGACATTCAGTCATTGCAGTTTCTCAATTCCAGCGCAACTCATCCACCCAATATTTGTGGCTATCGCTTTACCTATCGTCTAATGAAATAGCTGAGACACCGACTTCTTGCCGTGAATATTTTGAATGGCTTGTGCCAAAAGCGGGGCAATGTCCAATTGCACAATCTTTTCATTACCTTCACAGCTCTTTGGCAGCGGAGTGGTGTTGACGACCACGACCTCCTTAAGCGTTGATTTTTTAATTCGTTCGTTAGCAGCACCATTGAAAAGACCGTGTGACGCAAAAGCATACACATTTCGAGCGCCATGGTCGGACAGGTGCTGAGCAGCTTTACACAACGTCCCAGCTGTATCAATCATGTCGTCTACAATGATGCAATCTGAGCCCTCGACTTGCCCAACAAGATCCATACGATCAATCTCGCCGGCTTTGATACGCTGCTTAATAATCATAGCCAGACCAGTGTTAGGGAGGCCATACTTGCCCACAAGCCACTCGCGAAACTTTTTGGCACGGGCGACGCCACCAGCGTCAGGAGAGACCACGACAGGATTCACGAGCTCGTGATTCCCGAAGTATGATACACCCACGAGTCCACCATCCAAGTTGTCCACGGGTACATGGGGACCAAAAAATCCCTGAATTTGGCCACAATGAAGGTCGACGGCAATAACGCGGTCGACACCCATTGCCTCCAGAAGACGAGCCACGTCGGCAGCCGAAATGGGAACACGAGCTGCCATCTTACGGTCCTGACGAGCGTATCCATAGTATGGAATGACAGCGGTGATGCGACGAGCCGAAGATCGGCGCATCGTACTAACCATAAGTAGTAACTCCATAAGGTTTTCATTTACAGGTACGCAAGTAGGTTGTACGATGTACACGTCTTTGCCGCGCACATTTTCATGCACCATTAAGTTGACTTCTCCATCAGCAAAACGCTCAACTGTGATCTTCCCCAGCTGCACACCCACAAGCTTTGCCACATTGGAAGCGAGTTCATGATTGGCATTACCACTAAAGATTTTAAGTCCATTGATTTTAGGTTGCTTAGCAACGGGAGCGGCCCGTGGAAATGCTTCTTCTGCCATTGCCACCGATGCTTGTGATTGCTGATGCTTTGAGCTTAAGGCGGCACCAGCTGCTGCAAAGCTCATAGCCAACGCAGCAGAGGAATATCGGCCATGACGGGCGACCAGTTGGCGAAACATTCTCTTGAAAGAAATAAAATGACTTTTGAATTGTACTCGGAGATGGCTGGCGGCTACATAGTTTGTGTGACATACATGTATTTAAGTTATACTCTCAGATTAGTGACAATATAACTTCAAACAGAGTCTGATGCATTTTGAAAAAATGCAAAATCAAAGCGGTGCAGTGGGTGATGGCGATCTGCCCTCATCGTTACCCTCATATATGCCTTCATCTACACAAGATAATTCAGCAGGATTTTCTTTTGGATACAATATGATGAACCAATCCGGCGCCAAGTCTGATGTCGATGCAGCACGACGGCATTGGAAGGGGCTTGGCCAGAACCAGTTCAATTTTGCGAGTAATGGTGCTCAACCAGCAGTAAAATTGGCCGCTAAGAGCTCAAACACAATCCATTCGCAGTCAATGTCACCCGAAGGCATTCGTATGACATTTGATGGAGGCGGCGCCACAAATTTCTCGATCATGTCGGCGAACGACAAGACGGTGACTACAGCTCCGATGGCCGCCGGGATATCCAGCTCACAAACTGCTACACCAACATCTCATATCTCTGCAGCACAGTTTGCAGCAAGTACGGGTGGATTGTCCATGAATACGGTACTTCTGGCGCGGGTGAGTGGCACGGACCCGTCACTTGTGGGCTCAGAGGAGATCAAACAGATTATACGCACCCCCGACCTGCTGTCCATATATCAAAAGCTGCAAGAAGAGGACGATCGTCGGCAACGACGCCTGGAACGTAATCGAGCATCGGCACGAGTGCGACGCGAGAAAAAGAAGGGTATGGTGGAAACATACGAGGCAGAAGTATCCAAGCTCGAGAGCTCACTCAGTATGCTTAGAAATCACAAGTTTGGCACAGGCAATGGAAAAGACTTGACAATTGCGTTAGGTATGTATGTATGTGAGGATTCATTATTCGTGTGTCTTTCTCCTCACTCATGTGTAGAAAATAGCTCGGGTGAACATTTTCGTCATGCACAAATGTCAAAGGATGCTAAGATGGAATTAATGGCGCGAATTCTTGGTCATCACTCACGCAATACGGATGCAGTGCGAATCCTTTGCTTCAGCATAAATTTTTCAACGTGCTTACGTCTGCCTCTTGCATTTCGTGTACAGATCCGTCGATCGAATGCTGAAAATCAAGCTTTGATTGCAGTGGCTATCGACGATTCGGAGTTTTCGCGGTCTTTGCGTTCGCAGCTTGGGCTTACCCCCGAACAATGCCAAGAACTGGCCAGCCTAGCAATACCAACTAGCAAAGAATCGCGCAAGCTAGATGCTATACGGAAATGTTTTTCTGCGCTTCGAGCACACGATTGGCTATACGTACCTGGCATTGAGGTGACAGATATATCTGATATCATGTTAGTTCTGGTGTTGAAGTGCTGACGTTTATTTTTTGATTCAGTCAATCATACATCAGTCGCGAAATACGATGACTCCATACCAATTCCAAAAGTTTCTCTCCTGGTCCGTAGAGAATTGTTCTACGATTGAACGTCTACAGGTGTTTGACAATCGACAAACAAATGCTCATTTTCCGAGTTTTGACTACTAATACTTAATTGCTTTACGTAGTTTGTGCCCACACCATCTGCGTCAGAGTTGGAGAAGGATCTCAAATTTATTTTTTCAGATGACTACATGTAATGCTGCATTTACAGCAGAATGCAGTATGTTGGTGATGTAAGGTGCTATTGTTTGTATCGTATGCGCAAGTCAACATCCAGTTTAGGATGAAGACAGCTTGAAGCCATGATTACATCAAGCGATCGAGCTATGTATAAAGTAGAAGACAAGTACTCGAGTCATTAGCCTACTTGTATGTTGATGAATGCCTCGTATTATATTCGTTGAATAGCACAAAGCAACGCCATTCGTTCACATGTCTAAAAAATTTTGAATGAGCTTGAGACCATCATGAGTAAGAATGCTCTCTGGATGAAACTGCCAGCCTTCAACTTTGTGCATCTTGTGTCGCACGCCCATGATCATGTTGGTGCCTTTGACAGTGGCTGTCACCTCAAGCACGTCAGGCAGGGTCTCAGGCAGCCCCACAAGTGAGTGGTAGCGAATAGCCTTGAATTCGGGAGCCATTCCCTTTAATAAACCCTTACCGTCGTGCATAATGACCGAAGCCTTACCATGCACGATCTCGCCAGCGTGATCCACTTTGCCACCGAAGACTTCAAACATGCATTGATGGCCCAAACACACGCCAGCCAAGGGTATTTTCCCTGCAAACTCGCGAATCACATCACACGAAATACCCGCGTCTTTGGGATACCCTGGTCCTGGCGAAATCATAATGCGGTCTGGGTTCATCTTGCGGATCTCATCAAGCGTAATTTGGTCGTTGCGTTTTACCTCCACATCTGCACCGAGCTGAGCCATATACTGGATAACAATATGCAGAACAAAATCATATAAACAAAAGATTTTTGTGCTGAGAATACAGCTGAGAATATACTTGGAAGATGTTGTAAGTAAATGAATCGTAGTTGTCGATGAGCAGCACGCGGGTCGTCATGGCAACCTGTTAGAAATGAATTCATTGGCCAATCGAGATTTTTTGAAAAATAAGAAATATTTTTGGGAGAATGAAAAAATAAATACCCCTCCCTCCAAAACAAAAAAAATAAAAAAGCGAAAAAATATAGCTAGCAATAATATTTTTGCAATGGCAAAAATACACATGTAAAAAATAAGAAAAGTAGAGTTTATACAAATAAAAAGTAATTTTACCAATCTTTGAGGAGCCTTGAGAAGGTTAACAAAAAGCCAGTAAATCCAACTTAACACAGCTCGTATGGAAATCTCATGGTACCCCCCCGGATTTATCCCCGAAGTAGGTACGGTGCTCTGGAGGGAATGAAAGATTACGTGGCATCGAAAACTATGTGGTTGGCACAAACATTATCATTACTACAACGTCGATAAACATGTCGACACCTTATAGCAGCACCCAAGGTTTCACAACAGTTGTCACGTGCAGAATTGCTTTTAGGATATATATGGTCAACCAAAACGTATCTACTTGCTTACGATGAAGCACTCAAAGTGAAGCTATTCGTGACAAAAAGTGAGCTGGTAAAGAGTTAGCATCTTCCATTAAATTCGTTGAGAAGAACAGATCGACCAAAAAAAAGCGAATCGAATCACAGCATGCCACACCAGAAGTTGACGCGCCAAAAAGTGTTTATCGATGCGGCAGCTGTAGTCAAGTGGGACACCATAAGCGTCGATGCACCAGTAATGCGCAGCACTAGAATATAAATTTTCTTTAGCGCGTTGGGTAATTTTTTTGTTTTTTATTTCTCAATAGTTTTTTTAAGTCATTGGTAGATTTTTGTCATTTTAGTGGAAACGTTGTGATTCAAGGTAGATTTCTTCCATTTAAACATGTTTTTTCTATTCTATTTGAAAAAAGGAAATATTTTCCATTAGACCAATGTTTTTATACTATTTTAAGCCAGCGTATTTATCATGCCCGGCTTTATGCTGATCTACACATGAAGTCATTGCTTGAGTATTTCAAGAACATATACAACATGAATACGTGAGTAACGAAATATAGTGTCGTCAGCAGCGATGGCGCAATGAATTGGAGGTACGTTGATCAGGTCCCATTGAGATCAAGTTTCTGGTGTTTCTTCCTGCTGATGCTTGGGGAGACTTCAGTTCGGCCATTGGAGCGAAATGATGTTGCGGGCGATATTCCATGCCAAAACGATGCCGTAATTGTGTCGCTTCTATCGATGTTTGAGCGAGAGACCGAGTCAAAAGAGTCCGAGTGATTGGTCGGTAAAGCACAAGTTGCAGTTGTTTGAAAGCGGATCACCAGGGTCTTAAGCTTGGAGCACGTGAAGTGTCACTACAGTCGTGCCAGTGAGCAAGCTTGGTCGTGTTGGCGCCGGCCAAGCGCTCCTGCGAGCTCTGTGGTCTCTCACACGGCTGAGTTTGCGACCGCAGTAGCTCAGAGCCATCGCTGGAGCTCAGCTCATGACCCTTCAGCTTCCCTGGCTATTGTCGAGAGGCTCGGGGCTACCCACTCACTACGCTAGCTGAGTTTACCTTTATGCGCTCATAATCACACCCTGGCTTGGACTTACCGTAATTGCTGACAGAATCATCTTACATTTGGTATAGCTACGTCACCCTATATATCGAGTACTAATGGAATAATAAAATTGTTGTGGTAGCGAGTATGGTTTTGGAGCTGTGGTGCTCTTGGTGCAGCGATGAGCACATGTTGCCGAAATGAATGTCTCTTGATTGTGATGTGTACAATGCCTTCAGCGGGCCCACTGGTTGGAGCTGTGCGCGTGGTGTCCTAAAAAGAGCTGTGTCGACTTCGCACGGGAACATTCAGCTGGAATCATGCGTCAACAGGCTGTACGTGAACAAGATGCATAGCCATAGACATTGTTGCAGCAAACTCGTTCAAGACGACCGCAAGAGATCTGAGGTAAGGAGGTCGTGAAGCGTGAAAAATCCCTTGCCACAAGTTTCCGTCCGACAAATCAATACCGACGTTTTCCAAAGAGGGCGTGTAGCCGAGTTTGTCCGGGGCTTATCAGATCTGGCATTTGCTTTCACAGAGCGGCGCCTTCTAGTAGACACACTGTATTTATGCTCAGGTCTTAGTCCATGCCTTCCAAGAACGTGGAGTCGATTATCATTGAAAATATCTCGTAGACTAACGAGACAACCAAGGTAGTGGACAAGTTCATCTGGACCGACACTCGCATGTTGGTGTTTTCGTGGACAGTCTGGTTGCGGTTGAGCAATAGTATTTTCGTCTTGCAGACAGCGAGCCTGGCGCTGGAGCTTGTGCAGTACCGCTGGATGAGCTAGTTTTTGAGGGGACTGAGTTGGATAGGAGAGTCAAGTCGCATAATCCACTAAGTACATCCTTGTCGCTGCTGAGAATTCGGGCAAATTTTTCGTTGGCTTAGATGGCACAACCTAAAAGGCCTTAGAGAAAGATTGAAGAACAGGGATCACCCTGCGCATCCCCGTGACGCGTCGGAGATATACGCAGGCACACCATAGTCGACGTTTACAGTAGCAATACTTTGAGGTTTGTCCACATCAAAATAGATTATAGGGACAATACCGTACTGCCAGCCTCTGACAAACGTTAATAGGTCATTGACACTTGTTGAGCCACGAAGCGCATTCACTCGCACAGATCTTTCGCACAGACTAAATTTTGGAAGTAGGCAGATATTTTACCCAAGTGAATGCATCAGCACTCGGTTAGACTGAGCTTTATTACTGGCATCCTACCGGTTTACATGCCTGGATCAACTTCTCAATTTGCTGGCTACTTCTCAAGTCAACTACTCAGAGAACCCTCCCTCCCACAGCCCTCCGCTCCAGCTGTCACTCCCTTTTTCTCTTTGAAGATGATGATTCCAGCTGCTTTTGCCTCCCCATTCCCTATCGATCAACCCCCTAACGCTGTGTCGTGGGTCCGCACCCAGTATCAAGCCGGTAGCACGGTCGACCCATCTTGCTCGGATTCCTGCGCAACAGCGCTCACTCGCCGAAGTTGGCAGGCAACGGGCCGAGATTGATGAGCTCGCGCAATTATCTCACAATCACTCGTGTGTTATCAGCGACACAGCCGGGTCAGAACTTCACTTTTGCGTTAAAGGTGATGAAAACAGCTCCATCCAAGCGCCTCAACATCTTTCAAGTGACAGCCAACGACGGAGTCGCTCGGCGGTAAATGGTGCCTTGTGCCGCCAGCAAACTCTCCAACTTAATAGCGCATGTATTGAGGCACAGTCGATCGCCCGCTTTCTGGATCTCTACTAGATTAGCTTCCCCTTCAATCACAAGTAAGGCTAAATTAAAAGATTTGCCTAGTCACCCGTGGGAGATGTTACGCATTCCAGGACGCTCGGTTTCCCAATTTACAAGATCGTCCGCGTGTATCAAGACGGATCTCCGTATAATATTTGAGCTGAGACATTGGCTGACAAAAATCACCACGAGGTCGATCTTGTGTCCGGCGTAAAGTATTGCGCGAAGTGGCCTTGGTGAAGTGGCATTGGCCACCCTGGTCAATGCCATTGACGATTTTTTTGAAGCCACCACAAAGCAGTTCACGTGCACGAAGGTACATAGTGCAATTTAGTCCGATATTCGGGGAGAAGAAAGACATGTGTGGGTTAGCATCGCTGATGCTTACAACAAGCTGAACATCGCAGCCTTTTACCGCACAGACGCCTATTCTTCGGGAGGATATGGTGCTCGACGTCATGTCCGATAGTGAGATCTACTGCAGAAATAACTTGACGGATGAATTTTATCATATTTTGATAGGCTTGATGGATGATAATGCCCACAGAGTAGGTACTCAAATGGTTTGCTATGTCACAAGGCTAAAAAAATACCCTCGTTACGATCAATCGCATGGTCCCACATGTGCCGCATCTACCCATTCTTCGCCGATTTACTTAGTTTTTATCTTCGTAAACAGTTGCGCTCATGAAAATCTGCAGACGCTCGCGGCGTAATTTAGTCAAGTTTCATCGGCTTCTGCAAAAAAAATATCAATACATCTGCAGCAAGTCTTCTAAGCGATGCGAGAGAATAAGCTGTACGCAAACTTGAAAAGGTGCATTGTTGTGCTAATGACGTTTTTGGTGCTTAGCTACTTCGTGAGCATGATCAGCGTTTATCCCCATATCATGTCATCAATATGCGCGAGGCCGAAGCCACAGAGTCCTACTGAGCTGTGTTCTGGCAGGGCAACGCTAGATATCGTCTGCCTCCACCAGACACCATCACTTATCCCTCACTATCCTTTACGGTACCATCAGCCTAGCTTTGCTTTGGGCTCATGCCTCCCGTCCTCCTTTCGGGTGCAGCTAGAGATAACACACTTCACAGAGTAGAGTCAGACTTTTGGGCGGCGAAGGTGACTCGAGACGAGTGGTTTGAGAGGCGGCGGGGTGCTGGTGGCCATCTTGATGATCCCCTTGAATTAGTAGTCAGCTTAAATATTCCTAGCCTGTCGCAGTGCGATTCTGAGAAATTTATGCAGGTTCCTTTACATTAATGACACCCGAAAAGCATTTGACAAACTACTGGATGAATCTTCGACTTTTGTAACACCTTGAATAGTCATTTAATCGCGCCCTCCGCGATTTGGCGTCGTTAGAGGTACGAAATGTGAGCAAAAAAGTACTTGAATCGCTGCGAGCGCCGGTGTGGCTGATTGCGGTCGGACCAAGAAAGTGTTATCGCGCGTAGAATGTTCCACACATTGCCGACAGCATCTTCGCAAGCTTTCCAGCCGTCGCGTACTTTGCATTTTTTTGTCAGAGCAATGTCGAGCCATGTTGTACGCTTAACGAAGAGCGGTGATACCAGCTCGAGCACCTGCCGCCGGACCTGCGATGGGATTTGCAGTCAACGAACGAGTGCTGCTCGGTCTTGATGGCATCGCACCCGTCGCGGATACAGTACAGAATGCGTGGGTTTGCCGCCTCGAGGAACCAGAACCTCGAGTGCCACGGACGAAAGACGGAAGACGAGCCGAAACAGCGAGTTTTCGAAGACAGGAAGTAGAATCTTACGCAAATGCTTGGCAAAGTTGACAAACGACTTGGTTTGCCTTCATCAACTCGCTGCGAGTAAAATTGCCATTGGATGTGGCGTCATCGGTGACTTGGGTGTCCGCATAGTACGAAAATTTGCAGATCGCGTTATCTCCGGAAGCAAGCTCGTCTTCACGCCATTTGTGCAGCCTAGATGGGGAAGTGGACGGATTTGCTCGCTGTTCGACGGCGATAACACAAGTTGCGACGCGCCAAGCCGACCCAAGATCTGTATCTGTATGGCTTTCTTATACAGCCTCCACAGCCGCTTTGCCTGTAAACCAGGCGTCACACTCGCGCGAGTGTAATCGATGTGTTGTTCCGCGAAGTCTTGCTGCATCCGCCACGCGTTGGATTCACGCACAAATTCTGCAAGCGATCTCAGCCCGAAGACTCTGGACACATGTAGCTTGAAGCTTTGTTGTGGTCCATGTCAATGCATCGGAGGTATGCTGTACTGGTGTGCGTCCGTGGGGTCTAATCAAAGTGCAAGATAGCGTCTGAGTGGAACCAGATCGGCCGTCGGGGACCACCCACTGCATGCTCGTAAGGTGAAAGTTAGTGCCATGTGATCTCCCAGTGTGCCTAGTACCACCAGATCGAACTCGCTCACCACGGGGATCCCAGACTCCACCTGAGCAGGTCGCCATTGTGAAGCGAAGAGATCGTGGGGAAGTCAAGCGCGTTGTTTCGCCCAGTGCGAAAAAGAAGCTGTTTGAGCAGCTCAATGCTCGCTGTCGTCAAGTTCCGCACGCATGAGCTGCAGTAGTATTGCAAGACGCTGCGCGTCCAGACTTGGGGCACCTAGTCCGCCAAGAATTCGTCGACGGCTTACGATCTCATTCGGGATAAGCTTTACATGCGACTTGTCGCGGTCGTGCCTGGGACTCAGCACGAATCGATCTAGCATCGACTGTCACCGTATTATATCGGTGCTGGTATCGATACATGCTGCGTGTAGTGACATAGACAGGAAAGTTCCATCTATTGTGCTCCTAGAAGTCGATCACGGAGCGTGTGTGTGCGCCGATACCACGCCTTAAAGCTTTCGTAAAAGCGTTGATCGAGAAATCGATGATCGTGTCGTCGACCAAAGCCTGTCCGAGCGGCATACCGAGATACTTCACTGCCTCCGTGCGGTCGAGCACTTGGACGCCATGAATCACGGAGCTGATCAAGCGAAAGAGTACCGACTTTGACAAGTTGATCTTTGCGCTGGAACCTCTGCAGTAGTCTTCCACGATCTCAAGCTGCGCCTGCAGGTTCCCGACCGAGCTCACAAGCAGAGTCGAGTCACCTGTAAAGAATACGCTGTGGTTTTATGGAATACGTTTTTCGCATACCGTACTCTCCGAAGAAAATCAGCCATATGCCGAGAGGCTCGATCGTCAAGACGAGGAACAGCGCAGACAGCGGATCGCCTTGCTTCACGCCTCACATCGGATGCGGTGCGGGCAGAGAGTTCCGGTTGATCAGTAGATGCGCTTGTAGGTTCGTGAAACAGCTTGATCCATCGAATAAACGCTATGCCGAGCCCCATTCTCTCGAGAAGCCGGATCATGTAGCGCCAGTTGACTCGATCGGACGCCTACTGGAAGTCCAAGAACTTCACGGCCGCCTCTTCGTGCGAGCTGTCACGAGGTCCTGCAAATCAGCGAGGAGCCGCACGTGATAATGGATGAACCTTCCTTTAACGAATCATTTCTAGTCTGCGTGGATTAAGTCGGCAATTACTTGCTGCAAATGATATGTCAGCACCTTCGACAACACCTTCACATCGACCTGCATGAGTACGATCGGTCGGTAGTTGCCTACTTCAGCCCCAAATCCCATCTTCTGCAGAACCACGGCAGGCATCCCCACGCCAAAGTTGGACATTGAGCACTTGCTGAACACATTCAAAACGGCCTGGTAGAAAACCGGTAATCAACCCGTCAATGCCGGGCGAAGATGTCGCATTAATGTCCCGAATCGCATTTGCAAGATCGGCAGATATGATTGGTGCTTCAAGTATCGCACGATCGACCATCGGGACAAAGCTGACGTTCCAGTCGAGAAGCTTACAATGCATGGCTGGACGACTGGGATCCCCTGTCTTGAATCCCCAGTTATCAAAATGGGATCTCTTGAGGATTTGTTGAGACCTTCCGTCTTGGTGTCACGACTTTTCGACCAAGACTCGACGCAGATTCATGTCCAGAGGACGGATGAAGTTCTTGGTGGACTTCTCGACGTTGTCGCTTGGAAGTCGAACGCGGTGTCTTGGATATATCAACTACCCCGCGCGACAATTTTCTTGTAGTATGGCTTCGTCGAAGAGCTCGCGATTTGAGTCGCTACCTGCCGTACGATATCGAGTAGCAGCTTGGGCGAGTGTGATGCAGGCGTCCTCAACAGCTTGCGTGTCCTGTATTGGCAGCCTCTTCTGCACATCCTGCTGCTGTGTCTTGATGCTCGTCTTCCATTGTTTCCATACCTTGACGGGGTTCTCAGCGGCACGCAGTTGATAGCAAATTAGCTCGGCTACCTTTTCGATTGCAGACACAACTTTCAGGTAGTCGAGAAGGCACTGCGGAAACCTCCAGTAACCTCGTGCAGTTGTTTTCCTGAACCAAAGGAGGTAGCGACCTGCGGCCGACAGCTGTGGGAGTTCAATCGCCGAGTTGAAGCCAAGAAGGTCAGAGCAAAGCACCGTGAGCACTCTACCGCTCCGACTTATCGTGGGTCAATCCAACATCGAATTGGGGTCGTCCACAAAGGCTGTGTGCTTAAAGCTCGAGTCAAGGTGGAATTTGAACATTAAGAGGTGCTTGCTTTCTGCAAATGTAGTTTCTTGGACGTACGACACCGACTACGTAGAAAGCAAGCTCTCACAACATAGGTGACCTTTTTTCTTGATGCCATCAGTGTCCACTGTAAGGACACTAACGTTAATCCATGTCATGGTGGGCCTGGGCAGTTTTGCCGAAGTGGCACCTCACACACCCACATGTCCTCGGAGTTTGCACTTTACATGATATTGAATTAAACCCCGCCGACGACGTCGACCCAAAAGGCGTTCCACGTGGTAGTGGACGCCACTATTCTCATCGGGAAGAGTCGGCGACGGGCGATGACGATTTGGTCGATCGCCGTCCGCTGAGTCGCGATGCTCTTCGAGCGTTTTTAAGACACAAAGTGTGTTGAGCCCACGATCTGAAGTACCAATTAAGTTTTTCTTGGTTTGTATTTCACAAAACTAAGGACCACTGTTTCTGAAGAAACCAAAACACACATTCAACCTTTCTTAAACGGAACCTCCCACTAGAATCACAATTGTAACTTGATAAAAAACTGCGCATATTGAAGGATCCACGCGCAGCCATTGTGCGGAAAGGGGGGTCCGTTGGTCATGTGGGCTGCCAGCCGCATGTCTGACAATATAAACAGATTAAAAATAGTAAAGCATATACATCACTATTGGTCTAAAAAGCATTAGTTATAGACATTGGTAATTTTGGTATAGCAGAGCTAACTACACAACTAAATTCGTTAAAGGCTCTCGGCTTAGCTCCTGAAAGAATTGTACCGACCTTAATCGTTGTGCGTTTGTTATTGCGGACTCTAAAGTATAACATTTTTTGGGAAATTCACGGTATACCAAGTGCAGTTTTGATCATCCGACTAGAAAATTCGTGATTGAAGGATACAGATGGTCTGCGACCAGGAAGGACTTCGACCAGGATGATAAATGACCTTGGCGGGGTTTTAATTGGAAAAAAGTGGAACGGGGTACGAACTTGAGCAGAATGTTTGTATACATGAAACTATTGTCCCTCGTACACACAGCAAAGCTCGGCAACAGCAAGTTGAATGCCTTAATAAATAATACTTGATACGAATGTGGGGCTGAGACCACATACGGGGGAGGTTCGTGGGATGGGCTATTAGCCCTGGACCTTACAACATATAGCATATATTCTTATGGTCGTTAAAACAGATGTTTATAGTTTGATGCTGAGCTAGACGTGAGCCACAATATATCTCTTTTACGATAGAGCAAACGAAGAGATTGCAAAATTTGATAGGCTCTCGACTCGCATCTGGGTGGTTCGTGCATAACCAACCTAAGTGCGTTAACTAACGCGGACTCGTATAATTAAAGGTCTATCTCCGCTAGGTGCACGGTAAAATGTTTGCTGATGTATAAGTCTCTTTGGACACTGAAATCAACAAGAGGATAAGGTATGTCTGTGAATTGATGCTATATCGGCCCGTTATGATGTTCGCAGCTTTGTATCTGCTTGAACATTAGTCATGGCGATGAGCGCACTTTGAGATTATGTACCTATCGATTTTGCAATGGCTGTTGCACATATTAGACTTTGTAAGAATCTGGCTCGGTTTGCGTAAAAAGTCCGATGGATATCAGCCTCGCCAGTGTCAGTGAATAAATTGTACCACTCTTGGCGGTAGAAACTGGAGATTGGGAATTATATGGGCAGTAAGCAGAGGCCCCAAGAGGAATTGTATAAGCACCTGTGGGCATCATAAAGCGCAGAAAAAAGATGCGTCGTCTCCATAAAAGCTACATATCAAAACGCTTTGTTATCAGACGCACTCAGGGTGGTTCTGTACGCTTTAAACAGAAGTAGAACAGAGAGACTCTAGCGTAACTAGTAATATAGTTAGCTTTACCACTTCAGGAGTACACGTGGCTAAATGCTATTGATATCAATACTAAATATATTCGGTTTAATATAACCCTGTCTTGGAACGTGTTCCACGGACCTAATCCACACCAATTTCGATCGTCTTCATATATATAACAATATTAAGCTACTAATGAATATTCACAGTTACATCAAATTGCAATGTGATCCCATAGCGTTGTGCAGTATTGAATGTAATGCAATTGTACCACATATGTAAGGTGAGAGTATGTACCTCTTTCACTTTCTACGTGTAAGATATAGACTACGAATCACAATAATTTTGTCCTCTCTAACCACCGCGCAAAAGCAACAATTTTACAAGCAACCACTATGCCTGGAGGTTTCTACCACCTTTTGGGATTTTCTGTGCTTGCTTCTTGGAATATACTTGCACCGGTGATTTTTCGTATGTGCCAAACTGAATGAATTAACGAGACTCCAGAAAAGGCGCAGACCTTCAGACCAACGCGCTACGAATTCTGAGGTGTTCTCCATTCCGAACGATTGCAGCGAGCCTTCACGACATAACCAGACACCTCTGCACTCGCCTGACATCAAACGGCCCTCGCCGTTCAATAAGGTGGAGGCGCTTGTTGGGCACAACGTATCCTCTACACGACTCACGTACCCCGTGGTTTTTTCAAAGACTACTTAACCCTCCGTGGAACTCATCTCGTCACCAACAAGCTAAACCTGGATCAGAGAGCCCATCTATGTGTGCAGGAGTCTCGCCGTCTCTTGACCAATTAATCGCGCCATATCAGGGTTCCAAACGTCAGAAGTTACTTGTCGCGCTGGGGTGGATCCCTTAAGCGCCTATGCGTGCGGGCCTTCCACTCACACGAAAGCGCTCGCATAGAATTTTCGGATCTCATTTCTGAGAGCCGGAAAATACTATGCGAGCGTTTATGTAATCCGCAGATAATTACTGCTCAGATGAACCACCTACGCCTGGAGCAGCAGCACTCAAATAGCCCAGTATCCTCCATAAGACATTGTGGTCTTGAAGTTAGCTAAATGCCCATGAGTTTTACAAGCTCAGTTCCCGGACCGGTAGAGTAAACACGCCGTCTCACCCAACTTGATACCGTGCAGTCAAATTGAGCGAAACGGACGTCCGATAGACTTGTCGACTCATACTTGATTAAATGCGTAAAATGCAAGACACGACCGTCGAGGTGAAGACCCATCACCTAAAGTATCTGGAGTTTACAACCCCACTCGTCACCATTAGGCTGCTGTAGCAGCGATAAAAAACCGAGAGTCATACTCACAACAAGGTTGGCTCTAACCCGCGAGCAGAAATCACAATGTGACGAAGGACACCACCGGGGATGAAATTCAAAGGTGCGCCAGGTAGCAAGTGGCTAGACTGGCTACAACCCGGTGTGCCCGCTGGCCAACAAAATGATCCACGTATAAAATCATCGAGCAGCGCGACGATGGACGGATGTTCTGCAGCTGGCTCTCATCAGCTCTCTTGGCTGTGGCGGAATCTTGAAATGCTGAATGCTTCGAGCGTCTTGACTTGCGATCGTGACTACGGTAAGTCAAATCTCGGATTTTTTTTAGGCTTACCATTGCGCTGCCTGGTGTGAGGCACCCCAGAGGATCAGAATGATGCCTTTGCTTGGGGACAGAGAGTAGCTCAGCTGCAGAAAATGGTATAGAAGCTTCTCCGTATTCAACGAAGCACTTCACATCGATCTATGACATTTCTCCAGTAGACCCACAACCTCATGTAATTTGTACGCATACCATGTGGGAGAGTGAAAAGTATAGTTCCTTTCTTCGTACGACCGCGAAGGGTACGATGTAGCGCGATTTCGCCTTGCTTCTGCGGAACTCTGACAATGCATGTATAAATAGGCTCATTACATCTAATATAACCTGTTATCCCACTATATATTCGTGTTGGGTTGACCTGTCTCTGACATCGCGCGTTTTTGAGCATCCTATCTCTCAGCCGTAGCGTTACGCCTCCTGCGCATGACACTCAACTTCATCTCATTAAATAATTGAATCTGCTTTTACTTCAAATGCAGCCGGGCTGATATCATCAAGTCAATTTTGAACGAACCCCCCCCCCGCTATGGCCGGAGCCACTTCGTAGCATTATCCATGATACCGGGAAGTTTTCAAAAGAGGTATGAAAATGAAGCATAGCCTGTTCAGCACATACTACACTCAATGAGTAAAATTAATTCTCTCCAGCCCCCCCGATCGCTCCGCGCAAGAGCTTGAAAAATATCCTTTTCGATACATTTCACGCGTTCCGTCTAATCACCTGTCGCTCCGTGCAGTACCTCCGAAATAAATCATTCACGATGCGTCCACGCAGTCATTGGACCATCGATTTGTGGATGACCATCGGTTGACATATCCGATCTGGCACTCAGCCAAATTTAAACAGTGCTTTCTAGAACTTCCTTGTGAAGCGCGGGTTTCTAACCGATACATAGGATACGGGTAAGCAATGTTGGTGATACACTTCGTCGATGAGCAGCTTGGTTGTGCTCTTGCCGATGAATAGCAGCAGCGCGACCCGCAAGATCCATCATACCTGGATATTCGAATGTATCGTTAAGAAGACCCGAATAAAGTCCATAGCTGGGAATTGCTATTACTTGCCGAACCGGTAGCCTGGCCAAAGGCGCCGACGTGCGCATACATCTGGTTCAACTGGACCACTGGCACATAGCGCTCACTGAACAAGATACCATTTTTTTCCAGATTGATATCCGATGGGTTACTATGTGCGACGACATTGTTAGGTGCTTGAGATCATCATCGTCAAAAACCATCGCACATCAAGCGTCAAACAGATCAATACTGAAATACAGCAAGTCCTGGATACGGATTGTTAGTGCAGACGCACTGAACAAGTGTTTCGATAAAGCGGTATATTCATTATACACCCCGTTGCTATCCAAATCTTTCGGCAACGCGACACATGTTGCGTCCGACCCGCGAGCGATACATATCAAATCATCAATTGGTCGTAGCTCATAGTTGGGTGACACAAAACCCCAACCGCTACCAATGAAGTCGAGCGGTTAAAACCTTACCTCAAATGTATACACGACAGAGGAAGATAAGTATCTTGCCATTTTTATGAGAAATGTGGTGACGATGGGATTGTGCGCAACGACTTATGATCTGTATCGGTCACAAATAGCTCATTGTCAAACAGGCGCACCCTCAAACTTGACAAGAGTATACTTTACTGAAAGTAGCATCGTGTTTTGATCAAGCAGTTGTTCTCTGCCACTTTGAGCTGGTAAGACATAAATGCGATCATGAGTTCATGCCCGTTGACACCTACTTGGAGTAAGTGCAGCCTATTACAAAGGTTGAAGCGTCACGGTCAACGCAAATCGGCTGATTTAGGTCTAGGAGAACTGAGATCGGGGCGCACAAGAGGATTCCTCAAACAGCATTAAAGGCCAAATTTACTGCCGCACCCACACCATTTGACATCACTTTTAAAAGAATTAGATGAAGCGATGTCGACATAAATTGCACTGGACTATCGCAAGTATGTGACCTGGCCAAACTTCCTTAAAAGCCCATTTGGGGCAGAGGCACTGGCCAATTAACGGTAGCCATTTTAATGTGCCTGCAGACCATGTTTCTTAATGAAGCAGCCAAGGAAGAGGATCTCGACGGCGCCATTGACACACTTGTCAATAATTGCAGAAGCGCATCTGAGCGCAAACACTCGAACACCGTTCGCAAGTGTTTAATGTTGCTTCTCACATTTGACACTTAGTCCTCTAGAAGACAACAGACGATTCTGTCGTTGTAAAAGGTAATTGCACAGCCACGTTGTGGCCAAACAGCTACTTCACTAGGTGGTTAAACGTTTGGGTACACTAGATAGTCATATCGAGTACGAAGGAGTTTCGTGCACTAGATAGAGAGGGAGCTATTACATTTGGAGTCCGCGCTTACAATCGCAAAAAAATGAGTTCGTACGGTCTTATCAATTGCAGAAACGTAAAGCAAATGATATGCTATCTGTCGGCTAGCTAGGCCGCCGGCCCCGAAAGGATGCTGACAGTCCATCACCATGTAGTACACTGGTCTTCCCAAAGACGGGTTTGGTAATACTGGCGTTATGACCCTTGCGGATTTCTGAGGTAGATGGCTCACATCACTGCTGTCAGCGATACCACTACCGGTGTCTGTGACAAAGCTGTTACCCGACAAAGTTCTCGACAACATGGCTTGCAGGTGTTCATTATTTCTGGTCGAGACAAGAAAGTTTTGGAATTTACTGTGCAAGGTGCTCGGCGCAGATTCGACATGTCCACTGCTGACTACCCACAGACAACTCTTTGCAGCAATTCCCTTTTAAAATATCGATGTATTCATAGCATGAACTACAATTATCACTAAAACGAATTGTGTATTAAAATGGAAGCTTCCATTTCTTATAAAATATTGCAGCTTTCAATCAATGGGCATCAATAGCTTTCTTCGTCAGCTCAACGACGCTGTTGATAGGACTCATCTCAAAGAGTTTGCTGGCCAGACGCTTCTAGTTGATGCGCTCTCTTGGCTGCATAAAGCGTACGCTCCAAACTCGTTTCTTCACGTTGAGACAAGAAGCTAATTATCGCAGGGTGCTTACTACAGCTGCTACGGCTGTGCCTACGAGCTCTCGATCGGCAGAGATACTGATAAGTACATCCAATACATGTTGCGCAAAGTAGATATGCTACGTAGTTATGGTGTGGCCGAAGTCATTCTTGTCTTCGATGGTCAGCGGCTGCCACTAAAGGTGCAGGCAGCATGCAATCTGTTATCCTTTTGATGTAGCTACATCTCAAACATCTACTCATTTATTGTAGTCGTCAACGCAAGAAAAGAGACAAACATACAAAGAGGAGAATCGTAAGCGTGCGCTGCAAGCAATGGCTGACTCGAAGAGGCTCCAAGGCAGTGAGCGTGAGGATGAACTTCATAAAGCATATCAGTTATTTCAGAGGGTGCGTCGTGGAAGTTTCTATATACCTGTGCTACTGGCATTTCTTGATTTGTGAGAGTGAGTACAGTCGGTCAATATTTCTCCAGCGATAATATTTAATGTGATGAACGCGTTGCGTGCTGCTCAAATTCCGTTCGTAGTGGCGCCACTTGAGGCTGATGCCCAGGCACGTCTTACTGCTAATTAAATTTGAGTGATTGAGCTAAACATTTGCTTTTTTAGATGGCATGGATGTGCAAGGAAAAATTGGCAGCCGGTATTGTGACGGAAGACTCGGATGTCGTGGTGTATTGCCTCACTGCCAACGTCTGCAGTCCAGTGCTTGTCAAGCTGGAAGAAAATGGCTATGTTCAGGCAAAAGATATATTCATTGTTGGTGATGCTGAGCCAAATTCTAATTTAAAAACACGTTTGTTGTTTTACAGGCGGTGTCGCGCCTTATCCTCCATAAGAACTCAGCAAAGGCTTCTTGTAAAGTTGCTTGATTCTAAATTGGTTGTCATCACCCATGTTTACTAAGAATTGTCTTTCGATTTCTTCAGCAAACGCTTTGATGAGAAAAATTCATTATCTAACATCAGGAGAAAAAGAAGCCACACGCATGTTCGTCCAAGTGTGTGTTTTAGCTGGATGTGATTTTCTAGATTCCCTTCCAAACATAGGATTTGCTGTGAGTTTCATTTGGGTGGATTTCGTTCCTTCCTCACACTAATGGAGCATTTGTACAACAGACAGCTGTCAAACACATATATAACTTTCGTGGGGCTCCCGCCTCTTTGCGCGTCCATCGATTAGTGAGTAAACTCTCAAGCTCCGGCACGAAAATCCCAACTGGATTTATGCAGCAATTTCTGAATGCGGAGGCTATCTTTTATCACCATATTGTCTTTAATTCAACTGCACGGAGCTGCGACTTTTTGGTCAATATGGGTCATGAAAACTGCTTTCCTGATATTCTGCAGCGCGCTAAGGAATCACTTTGTATCGCTTCGCAAGAGCGAGCACTGCCGTTGGTCGCTGAACCAGATAATTTACATTCTGTTGTAAATTCGACAAAAAGTTTTCTTGGTCAAATACGTTCGCGTGAGGTCGTGGAACAGATTTACAAGGGTGAGGTGTGCGCTCGAACTTTATGCAGTCTCGTAAAGGATACAACAATTTTACAGAATTTGCAGTTCGATGAAGCTCCACCTGAACATCAAAAACCATTGAACACACGTTTAAATGGCAAGGAAACCCCGATTGATATATCAAAGACTAAACATAGGATATCTATAACAAAACAAATGGCTAATAAGTCTTCTCCAGTAGGGAAGGCTGAACAGATTGCGTACAAGAAACGCTTGCAGGCGAAAGAGTGCACAGTATCGATTCAAGGCCTAAAAAATGCCTACAGGTCCGCTGCACAAACTAAAGAATTTTCCAAAGTCGACGATTGGCATAGGAAAAATGAAAAAAGGATTGGCATACTGTCACGAACGTCAGCTGTATCAAAGTTAACTTCAGTCACTGCAACCCCATTTAATGATCTCGTCATGGAGTGTTCGCATTCCGTAAAAGCACCAATATCTACTGATGGGATCGCTTCAAAGATTGTGCAAAGTCCCAGGTCCAAAAAGAGACCACGTTCATCATCGAAATTTGCTGCTATCTGTGAATCTCGAACGCTTAAGAAAACGGCTTTAATTGGTAAAAAGACACTGTTCGATTTCTTTCGCAAAGTTGAGGATAAGTGCTAATATTAACAAAAACCCCACACTTGACTGACGCATTAATGGACCCTACATGCGATCGCTGGCTATGAAACCATTTTCCACTTTAAGATGCTCTTTAATGAGCTTGGATGTGTTCTTAAACTCGGGGTTACTTGCATCGTTTACTAGCTGGAATATGGCTGACTCGACTGAAGTAATGTAGGCACCGGACTGACGCATGCGTTCTATAGCCATAGAGCGATTATAGCTAGTAGAACTGGATACAGCATCCGAGACCACGTGCACATCAAAGCCCTTCTCTAGTAGGTCAAGACACGTCTGCAGAACACACACATGCGCCTCAATACCGCAGAGCAGAACAGATTTGCGTTGCGGCATGTTGAAGGTCAAGTGATGTTCCACTTCAGGCACAAGCATCGAAAACTTCATCTTGTCAAAGATCTTGACATCCTGCATGCCTTCTAGATTCTTCGAGATCTCAGACACAGTATTACCAAGACGCGAGCAATACTGAGTCGTCACGACCACCGGTAGGTTCATGATCTTAGCTGCAGACACCTGATGGAAAAGGTACAAGATGAAAATATGAACATACTCTTTTTAAAACGTGCTACAGCAGACCATTGTGTTCGTGCCATGGATGACCGTGGGCATCTGAAATGTGAGACCACGAAAAACTTCCTGAACGTCGCATAAGAATAGCACACTTGAGTGAGGCAGAAGTCGACCAAGACGTTTACTCGCCGTGCTCGGAGCCGCCATTTCAATTACTATTTAGATTTGACAAAATTTGAATGTTTTCTTTTTTGTATTGTTGATAACAATTATTACATTTCTACGCTTTATGGCTCGTTGAAGATTGCAATCGCTTGTTTAGACGCAGAATTTTGACGTGGGAGTGGCCGTGGTGAATTCTGGTGTTACCTCTACAGAAGGATTTTCGGATTGATTTACATCGTTTGGTGTGGGAGTGGAAGTCGTTGAGTTAATGACTTCTGTAGCCATAGTGTCTGAGTTTTCAATGACATCATCATTTTGTGTCTGATCCTCATTTGAATTGCTATCCGGAGCAGCAGGTGCCTCCATTGTGTCAGGAACGGAATCTGTTTCTTGTTGTACTGGGGAATCTTGCGAGATCGACACTGACTCGCTCATTGGACAGAAAGTCACGATTAGATCAGTGCCAAATGCACAAGAATGAGTTTTTTTATCGTCCGTGGGAAAGTTGTACGCATCTTGACATTCGTCAGCTAAGCACTCAAGCTGCTCGCATGCGTCTTTGCCGATGTTTGATGTTGGAGTGATCTGCACGGGGGTATTGAAACCAATTCCACTATCCGAATGGTCTTTGCACTCCTGAAGTCCCATGCAGTTTATGTGATCGGGGTGAAGTCGCGGCGGAATAATTCCAATGTCGTACCAAGTCAGATCGAGTTCGCCCATGGTGGAGATCTCAACGAGCGTTGCAGCGTCGTTTGAGCCGTTGCGAAAGTGACCTTCATAACCTTTCCCGATAGATTTGTTGATCGAGCCACCCGGGACAATAATATCGATCTCATCCGTGTAGACATTAGCGAGGCGCGTGTATAGATCAATGGTGCTCGAGCATTTATTAGTGATGGTCACCGTGAAGGCGTTGGCAGAGATGAGAATTCCCGCGAAAATGCAGGCAGAGGCAGCAGCACAAGTCATTTTTAGTAGATAGCGAGCAGGATATTTGCTGAATGAGGCTTAATTGCGGTCAACACGACCTTGTGAGACACAGAGCTCGCTCATCTATACCATGTTGTCGTAAAACAGATGATGAAATCTAGCCATCCAAATCAGGCAAGTTGACAAATCGTGTCGTCAGCTATGTAGAGAGTTCCCTGTAGCAATCATAAATGTTGAAAACTACCTCTAAACTCTTTCTGTGTTCAAGTCAATAAAAGTAATTTACTTTAAGAACTTAGTGCAGCTTGATGAATGTATTTGCAATGATGACATGAAACCAAATTGTATCAATCTAATTTAGATCCGCTCGAGGTACTTGTGGTGTTACGTTTTTTTCGCTCACAGGTTAAACAGTGCACACAGGTCATAATATCACGCGGACATCGAGTCTATTGCTAACAAATTTGGCAGCATTTGATAATAAATTTCGCTATATGAAATTTCAGTACCTTAGAAAAAGATTTTATGTCATGCCAGAAAACGGTCGTCATGTGGTTGCGAATGTTGACCAAGTCTTTTACAGAAAGTCGTGGCTACAATTTCGCCAGCTGTGATGAGCGCGAGCATCAAAAGTGCGGCCCAATGGCGTGCTTTAGACAAAGCTAAACTCTATCTATGCTGGTACTATACAGTAAAGCCATTAATGTAGCAACGACAGCCACTAATCTCGTTTGCCAGCGGGGCGACTTCATGCCATCGCATGACACAAGAAGTATGAACAGATGGGAACATATTTACGCTTATTTGCCTATTCTCACCAGCATTCGTCCCTCAGAACATTTCTTTGGTAAAGTCGTTTGGAACAACGCCTTACTTTCTCAATTTTTCGATGAAGACAGCAGGATGACAAGAAAGAATCCAGTCAGCAATTGTTCTTTCTTCAAACAATAGAAGATATGCGCCATGTTATTCGAATGAACACTTCAATTCTTAGCCCTCAAGTCATGCGAAACTCAGTAACCTCTGATGACCACCATATTCAAAATTAGATATTTGAAAGTGCATGGAACCAACTTGGTTCAATGTTGTACATGTTGCACTCTAGGGACACACAAGAAAGCACTACAACCAAGGAAGATGATGTGGTGAAACTACAATTTTTGGCAAATTCTGATACTAGCATTGCAGTGATTTGTGGTAGCAAAGGCACGTACATTATCTTGCATTTCATCGTGTGCGAAAAAAGGCACTAACAAAATCCAATTATTCCCAGATTGCTTCGTAAATTTCCAATGCCATAATCTATACAACTTTGATGGGGATTGACGCCTTGCTGCTACACCTTGTGTATTTGTTCTTGCCGAATCCACTGCTTGATTTTTTGTATGCCATTAGCACTGAACAACGGTGCGTCGTTGGTAATACGTGGCTTCAGCTGTGCGCAAAGACTGGGTACCGGATGCCAAAAGTTGGAGTGCCAGCCGATGTGTGTGAAGCTGGAAAGACAAGTAGAAAAAAAGCTTATAGAATTGATTCCGTATCAGTAGTCTTAAAAGCTTAACGATTTGGAAGCTTATGAGAAGTATCAACATCTCCTTTTGTGAATACAGCATAGAAATCTAGTGCTTGACACAACAGTTTTGCTTCATATATACAATGAAAATTAAATAGCTCTCAGGTCGGGAGACAAATGCTGCAGCAGGGCGTATAAAGCGGCGCAGCTTAATGATGAACACTGGACTTATGGTGACAGACGCAACCAAATTTATGATAGTAGAGAGTGAACAAACGGTTTGCTGATACTGTGAGTCATGGAAGCAAGAAGTGCACCATATTCATGTTATAGTGTACGTATCATTATATTGTTGCCCATCGCATCGAGAGCAAATTTCAGAAGCATCATGATAAGGTTTCATGATTTCCACGTGATACAAAAGGTATGTGGGGCATCTGGGCGTTGCATAGGTTCTATATGTACATAGTACAGTAGTCTAGCTTCAAAACTCTCAGGTTAGCATTACGCGTCCTCTGAAAGGTAAGGATTCCCATGTGCGAGATTCGAAGCAACCTCGTTACGATTGGAAGCAGGATGTCTTGTAACGACTTGGTTGTCGTTACAAGACTGTATCTTTTGTGCGATATGTATACTGTAACGAGGTCACATGAGAGCGACCCGTCACTCTCCCAAGGGAGCTGTGGTGTGGCATACACCACATTACTAGATGGGTACATGGCTTGAGAGTCATGTAATAAGAAAACATTAAGGAACACCTATAAATATATTCAGTCTTAAAACTACCTAAATTTGGTTCATGTAATAGGAAAACATTAAGGAACACCTATAAATATATTCAGTCTTAAATCTACCTTAATTTGGTTAACGTGTCCTCGGACCAAGGATCTGTGAACTGCCGTTCACTTAGAGTTTGTATACTTCTGGAAGTCAAGCTTCCTCTGTGCAAGGTGCCGTGTGACCCGTCACACGAACAATCATATAAAAGAACTTGATAACTCCAAGCTACACCGAAGGGTCAGGCGTTGTATAATACCATCATACAAGAGATTTCCAGAATGATCAAAACCAATTATCATTCGCCGCTGGTGATCCCCTGACCATTTCTTTCATTAATGCGACTTGAGTAGTTGTGCCGTCTACGCTTGGTGGCTAAAGACAGAAGTACGCGATAGCACTACTAACATTTCTACCACCGTAAAATATTATCTTGCGGAGGACCGGGTATCATATTAACGTTTCGCCTGTGCTCGCTTAACAAGGAGGGAGAGTTGAGAGTGTTGACAGGTTAGAAGTGAAGATCGATATATCATAACATTTGGTGGAGTATGCTCGGGAAAATCTAAAATATTTGCAATGTGTGTGCACAAGCACATCGTGATCGTGTGCAGATTAAGTGTGCTCATCACCACAAATTGCTTGCGAATGAAAAGTCTTTTGTGGGTAATGCTTTATTTGATCACTACTTTGATTCCGTGTACGCAGCAAACACTACTTAGACTGTAGTTTTGTCACTTTACTTGACTATTTAAGAAATAGTATGAAATGCTTCGTTTTAGCATTGAGATCGCTTACCAAGCAACTTTCGACTATTCTGATGTCAAATCTATAAAATATTTGCCCTAATTTTTTTGTAAAAGTTAGTATTGATGTGGAGCCACGTTTTACGTCGAATCGTACGCAACGAGGAGCAGCAGCAGGCCGAGCGTCGTCGTCAGCAGCTTGCCCAGGCTTCATCTTCCTTACCATCTGCGTCGGTCGCCGCAAGTACGAGCTCTGAAGTCGTTAAATCAGACTCACAAGCTGACAGCACAGGTAAAACCGTTGTTGCTTCAGAATCAGCTTCGATTCCATCTAGTGCAGAAGCAGAGTCCACAATTGACACATCAATCGAAGAAGATACACAGGATGATGACGACTACCTGCAAAAACATCTGTTGTCACGTCCGACGTCGAGCTGGAGTTGTCTTGAAGATACCCAGCAAGCCAACTGTTTGGCACTAAATGCATCGCACACACTACTAGCAGTCGGTGAACGTGACGGTCGAATGACTATCTGGGACAACACGAGCATACGTGTGATTACGAGAGAGCTCGATCCAACGTTGATTGCTGTCGAGTTTCCTACAGGCGAGACAGATGCGAATCAGGATGGCACTTTAGCAAAATCGACAATAACAGGTGGTGACGGCTCTGTAGCGAACGATGACGCGTCGGTAGAAGATGAAGACGAACAGACTGAAGATGCTGTGTCTATTGAGGATGAGATGGAAGCAGAAGATGATATTAACGAAAGTGATTCGAAACCCGAGGGCGAAGCTGAGAGTGCCCGAGGTGGCTCACTTTTGACGCTGTCTGATCTCCATGTGGCCAAAACTGGACTCAAGGTCGTTTCACAATGCACCTGGTCGTGCGATTCACAGTATCTCTTTGCTGGTTGCGAGGAAAAAGCGTCACGTCGAGCGCGACTTTGTATCTGGAACGTCGAAGCCGCAACGCTCATATCGGCATTCCAGTTTGATGGGACTATCACGGCGCTAAGTGCCCACCCACGAGATCCAAAGATTTTGCTCGTTAGTCTTTGCAACTCTTGTCCAGTGATACTGAACATCGTGACAGGAGACACGACGGAGTTAATGAACGTACCACTAGAGAACACGGAAGTGGCTCAGCCAACGTCACAATCGAATTCTCGACATTCGATTCTGGCCTCCTGTGCGCGCTATGGACAGTCCGGCACACGTATTTATTGTGCGACAACGAGATCAACCCTTGCAATTTTAGATTCAAAAACACTACAATGTCTCGATAGTCTCAAACTCAATGTTCTCATCCAGTTTGTGGATTTATGCGTGAACTGGCAAGAGAACGCCATGTTGCTAACTAGCTCGAAAGGAATTCACGAGTTTATGATGAAATGTCCTACAAAGGACGACATTGCAGTGACCGAGGACCATCCATTAGGATTAAAAGAAGTGGCTTTGCACTCAACAGGTGCTGTGCGTGCGCCATGGGCAGTTTGTTGCTTTAGCGGAAACGAAGAATTTGTCGTAGGCACCCCGGTAGTACGCCATCGTCATGTTGGAGAAAATGGATTGTTCACGTGGCCTCGTGCTTCTGATCAGACCAAGACGACTGCGCAGCATAATGTTGGCGTGAAAGATGGTGTACTGGCATTAGCGTGGGATCGCTGTCGCCAAAGCGTCTTGGCTGTCTCGACCAGTGGAGCTTTACATGTGCTTGAAGAGCCATTTTCAACGACTTGGCCAGGAGCAATGTATCCCGCTGGTTTCCGACTGATCACTGATAATGAGTTGCATTTACAAGTGTTTGAATCGGATGCCGAAGAGCGTAAACTCGAGAAAAAACAGCTCACGGAAAAGGCGAAAAATTGTGTTGTTGACGTGTTTCGTGTGCAGGACCCACGAGTTGAGTTTGCTGAAGAAGTGGGAGCAGAAACGGATCTTTTCAAAGGTGAAGAGCGAAAACTGTGTTTTATTCCAGCAATTCCGATCGCACACTTTCATCGGCGACAAGGACATCAACTCCACGGAGTGCCATATAATGAGGATAAGCATTTTGGACTGGGTCAAAGCGTATTTGAACCGCTGAAAGGTTCACTAGGGAAACCAAAGCAATGCAGTACTCGCCGATTTACGAGCAATAAAAAGAAACGTCGGCGTAAGTGAAGAAAGATGATGGGATTTTGGACTGGATATTTTGGGAAATGGAGTCACCATTATGATGGAAAAAAATTGTTTTCGTTTAGTGACAAAGTCAATTGATCGTGGGCTTTTGTGAAGTCTGGCACGCAATTATTGTGGTCTATTGAATTCGTGTGGGAAGTATATGCCATCGTGAACGCGAGTACTTGAAATCGCTAATTACTTGCATTCAGTCAAGTTTAAAATGACGATGGAGTCGTAAACATCTTTGACGCAACACTCGATGAAGATTGTGTCGCTGAGTATTGGAGTCTAACCAGTCAACTAACTAACTATTCCACGAGGGTAATCAGCTTGTTTTGATATATTGTTTGAAAATGCTAAGTGCTTCAAGTTCAAAAATTAAAGAAGATAAACCTTTGAATTATTTAATTTTATCAGGAAGAGCGTAAGATGCTCAGACGCGTCTTGTCACATGAGTGATAGTTACTTCTTGCCTCCTTTTTTACCACCTTTCTTGCCACCCTTTTCCTCCTTTGGAACTGCAAATATGTCAAAGCAACGTAAGAAATGCTCATAATACGTGTGCCATCATAACCATAACATACCGTCCTTGGCAGCTGTTTTCTCCTCCTTGTTATCTTTTCCTTTACCTCTGCCCATAATTGAAGATTTTTTTGATGCCTGAAGTTTCTATAGTGCGAGCTGTGAGACCAAAATTTCGAAATGAACAAACTGGTAAAGGAGCCTATGCTTTTGACTCGCAAGGAAAAACGGACGTCCGTTCAACACAGTGAACAGAACAACATGTAGCGTCGCATGCTGAAGCTATTCTTGATTTAGCAGCAGTTAGCAACCACCAGTTGCAACGTTGGAACCGTTGCGAAATCTTAGTATCACACACAACCTGTCACTCAAGTGCTAGTGTACCTAGCACATCAAGAAGTCTTTGAATGGCCTGCGTTTCCAGCTTCAACTCATCAGAGCGCTTGAACATTTCCTGCATGAAATCAATGACGTAGTCGCGCGTGTTATTGAAGTAATGCCTTTTAATCTCTGTGGGGGTGGCCAGCTTGAGCGACTGCAGTTTTTCATAAGTGTAAATCATGCACTTACGAATTAGCGCAAAACCAGAGCGCGACTTGGGTTGCTTTGGGCTGCTATCACTTGCTCCGGTGCTTTGAGTTTTATCGTAATTTAGCACAGGCAATACTAAATTGACAAAGTCGAGCATAAGTTCGACCTGCGCTGCTACTGCAGCTATGTCTAGACCGTCGCTTAATGCCGTAATTTCTTCTGTCACTGTCTCGATACTTGAGCTAAATCGTTTTTGTACTTCGTTGCTAAATTTATTGTCCCCGCCGTACAATACATCATTTGAGACCACTTCATTAAAACAGCAAGGCAGCGATTCCTGTCCCCATAAAGCATACAATTGTACAAACATAAGTCGCACACGCACCCGGGCGATATTGGTATGTAGACGATACGATAACGACGAATTCCACGTCTGGCGCTCCATCACAGCTTTGTGAAGAGCTGTAACAAAATAAAAGGCGTCTTCATCATGTAATGATGGAGCGTATACGAGCACACTCATTAAATTTGCAATAATTCGCATAGTGTGGTCGATCACATTGCAGTCGACCTTAACGTCTTCGGAAGAAGCACGACTATGTGTAGGCTTTTCATTGTTGTCACTAATCATTAGAGCGCCCATGTCAAGCTCCGCGACCAAAACGATCGAAAGTTTTAATAACGCATCCATTTGCATGATACAGTTGGTCATTTGAGCGATATTTGCAGCTAAAACCAGCAGCTCTAACTTCTCAATCGGGGATTCAATCGAAGGAATCGTGATGTGTGCAAACGCTAAGCACGATCGAATGAAATTTCTTCGTAAATGACCACTCGTCTTGTGATGACCACCAGTGTCTAATCGTTTGTAAGCGTGCATCGCCAGTCGAAGTACCAAACTGGACAAAAGTCTTGTGATTTGTTCCAGCTTAAAGAAAACCTGACGACAATCTGTGTACAACATCAATAATGCGTCCATTTCTTCATCTTGGGCTCGTTCACTTGCTGTCGTGGACTTCACGTATCCAAGGCGCGTGATAAATGCCGAGATATCGCGAGTTGCTTCGTCACGCTGAGACACTGTACTGAGTGAAGACAGCGCGTCATGAACGCGGCAACAGACGACCAAGAGGGTGTGGGCTAGTGCAGCTTCCGGACCGACGACATGGAGTCGCAAGGTACCCGACGTGGTCGATGACGACCTCATACTACCGCTTACAAACGCTCGCAATACTTTTTTTGCAACATCTACACTTGAATCTCGTTTAAACATATCCATGAGAGTCTACATGGCAGAATTTGACTTTTCAGCGAAAAAATTCAAGTTGTCGCTGTAGTAAACACGTACTAAAAATGAAGTTGATGGTATCAACATGTCGAAATACTCGAAATGCACCTTAGCACCGTACACTACGTTTTCAATGAATGTACCCAAAAAATTGTAAGTCTTTGCCGTCAATGCGTCGATAGTTGCAGCATTTAAGTGACGAACAACGTCTTCTAAAAGGATTAGTGCCTCACGATGCTAACATACAACTGACATTAGCGACAACTTCATCAATGCCATAGATCTATCGTACCGAAAAGTGAACAACAATGAGCTTCATAAAAGCTGCTGCACATTCCATATACTGCGAGGTGTCGTCTTGAGACATGACAAAGGACCACGAATCGTTCAGAAATTGCAATTTTCCACTTGGTTCATTGCTTGCAATAACGGCTACATTACTAAGTTGCACTGCTACAAGGCTGCAAAGATGACACTTGGACACTTGAGATGGAGAAGCAGCGCAAATGAGCTCAAGCATCTCACCAGGTATTGACGCATAAAACTGACCACCGAAACACTCGCACAAATGCTTGAGTATCATTGAGCTGTTAGAGTATTCTTGATAATGCAGAACCAGCGAGTCAAATGTCTCCTGGGTGGCTCCTGGTGCAGCACATCTAAATAACCACTCAATAGCAGGGGAATGCAGCGCTAGATAATCGTCATACTTCATTTTACTAGTCAGAAGCCAATTCTGTAGCCTTTCGTGGCGGAACCAGTTGAAGGCGTAAAAGTAGTCGAGCAGGCTGCTATTTAAGATAGATGTCAGCTCGGTGAAAGACGTCGTTTCTAGAAGTTCGGAGCTTGTTAATGCTAGGTACAGACGCGTATACAATGCTACCATTGGATCTCCAACTCCCCTTGACAATTTCAAACGTGTCAGTTTGAATTGATCAGGTTAAAGACTGCTTAGCATACTCTCTTACTTGATCATATTCGACAACCGGGCTATGATCTGAGGATATTCGCCATCACACAGAAATCGGTAGCAACGGAGCAAAGAGATTTCAATGTAACTGTTTCAGCAGCATAACGTGACAACGTAGTCCTTATAAAACAATTGAGCCCAATACGTACATTCGTGGCAGAAGCTCTCGAATGCACGCCGTTTTATAAAACCAGTTTCGACATGTTTCTTTGGCTTGAATATTGATATCGGAGCTCATGAAGTTATCCTTGAGTGACTCAAGCAAAGGTTGACCATTTTCATCCTCCGAAGCTTGTGAGCGGATACGACTAAACACGAGCATTCCAAATGTATCAAGCACTTCACTCACAAGCACAAATACACATGGATACAACTGAGGTGCTATGTTTGTGTCCGCTAGCAGCTTGATGCACTTAATTGCAACACGCAACGCTTCAACTTTTTGATTATTCTCCCAGCTTATAGTCAGACGGTTTTCCATTTCCTTTATTTTGATCACATATTGACTTTGAGAAATTTCAATCATGCGCTCGTCTTGTTCAGGAGACATTGAGAGTCCCGGTGTTGAAGTATCTTGCTCAAGCTCTTTCAATCGTGCACGGGTTTTTGCAATAACTGACGCTTCTGCTATTGTATCTGCATGCTGACAATCGTTTCTTGACGCAAAGGAATATTTATTCTCAAGATCGTTAACTTCGAGCATACTGGCTTGGATCTTGAATGTGTAGTTTGTGTATTTAGCCAAAAGCCGATTCGTGTGCTGTTTCCACTTGCTCTTGACTGATTCAGGCATTGCCTTGGATTTAAATGGCTTTGTAGCTCCTTGGATCGCTTCAATTGATTGTGTCCTTAAGGGCGCAGACTCAAACTCTCTCTGCTTCATATCGTCAAATGATCTTAGCACTCCCAGTGGATCAAAGTCACCATCGTGTAATTCTACAAGCTCGTGAGATCTGTTATCAACGTGACGTTGCTTTAAACTCTCGTCAAGACAATCAGTGAATGGCGGACTTGCCGCTTCTTGGCAATCAATCTGATCTATCTGCTTTGAATCAGAAAACGTTGCTGCAAAAGTCAGCGGATGCGTCTCTTTTCCCATTATACTATGTCGTGGAATTTCATGACGTGAAAGAGGCACCTGACGCTTTCCAACGCGCCATTTAATACCGACAGCGTTTGGAGGCTCCAGCTCAGTCATTTAACGCTTTTGAAGTTCATAAGATAAATCAACGACTGGATAAAAATCGGAATGTTTTTAACCAATTGAAACACCATTCTTCAACATTTTAGCGTGCGCCAAGCATCTTGCGACGTTGCGTGCTCTCCATAGCCATCTTGAGGCTTTCCTGTGTGTTGCAGTCACTGATCGATACAATATTTCTAAACCTTACAGATAGAAGAGACGGCAACAAGCGAAACAAGGCAATTTACTCCATCAATTTCGCTTTCGACACTAAGCTAACTAATTATATGTTGCTATATTGTATTAGTATCTTCACAAGAACCACTTCAATACTCTCTCATTCCACCATGTTTGGCGCAACAACACAACCAGCAACAAGTGGTTTTAATTTTGGAGCAACTACACAACCTGCGGCCGGTGGCTTTAATTTTGGAGGTGGGACACCGGCTACTCCTTCTAGCGGTTTTAACTTTGGCTCGACTTCGGCTGCTCCAGCAGCTCCAGCTGCTGGAGGCTTTAACTTTGGAGGAACACCAACGCCAGCCGCTGGATCCAGCGGTTTCAACTTTGGTGGTACATCAGCAGCAAGCACAGCGACAACTACCAGTGGATTCTCCTTTGGTGGTGCACCAACCGCAACCTCCAGTGGATTTTCGTTTGGTGGTACGCCTGCTGCAGCACCAGCAGCAGCCAGTTCTGGATTTAACTTTGGCGGTACAGGTACAGGATCAATTGGTGGTAATGCTGGATTTGGCTTTGGTGGAACGACCGCAACACCAGCAGCATCAAGTGGATTTAATTTTGGTGGTACGAGTGCGACTCCTGGAGCTGGTACGGGTTTTAGCTTTGGTGGAGCTGCTCCAGCAACCAACTCGTTTGGATTTGGTAATTCTACAGCTTCGACGCCTTCCATTTTCAATCAAACAACCACCCCCGGTACTGGCTTTAGCTTTGGGGCGAAGCCTACAACTCCAGGCACTGGGTTTGGTTTTGGCACAGGGGTGCCTGGTACAGGAAATAGTACATTTGGGACCCCAGGTGCTGTTGGTTCCTCCCTCTTTGGTACCTCAGGTTTCGGCACAACGCCTTTAGCTTCGACAGCCCCGGCTCCGATAATTCTTGGTGCAGATGCATCAGTTGCTCAGCTTAATACAATCAAGGCAGCGTATCAGGACCCGGCACAATCGCGCTTTAAATTTCTGATGTATAACGCCGTTGATCCAATGCAACGGCATCTGTATACCAGGCCCCCCTTCATTAGTGAGCGCTTATGGAATCAAGCTGAGCTAGACAATCCCGATCCGCTGAACTCTGCACCTGTGCCAATCTTGGGCTTTGATGGTCTACTTAAGCGTATTAAGGCGCAACAAGAACATGCTGAAAAGTACAATAAATACACGGATGATTTGCGTGGTCAACTTATCGAGATGGACAAACACATGCGTGCTACAGAGGAGAAAATGGAAAAGTGTCGCCGCGAGCACATCCAGCTCTTTCACGCTCTAGTAAAAATCATGCGAGACATTGAGTTGCTGCAGAATTATGGCAAACCATTGCAGCGAGAAGAGAATATTCTTGCGTTCGTCGAGATTGTTTAGTTTTTTCACTGTTTAGCGTCTGATTCAACTTGTTTTGCTTGCAGGACGACATTGAAGAAGCTTCAGACGCTACTGGACTCTCAAGGGCAGTATAAGGCACGATTAAAAGATGTTGTGTCCATGCAGCATGTCCAGACCGAAAGCCTCACTTCTCCAACAAGTCAGCTCAGTTCCCAGGACCTCCAGCGACTTTACGGGGTTTGTCAACAAAGCAGAATCACTTTTTTTCATGAAATTGTGACAGATTTTGCGTATTTTGCGTATGTGACAGCTAATGGACAAGCAGCGTCAAGGGCTAGAGCACTTGACCAACATTCTCAATGACGACCTTGCAGACATTGAGCTCATCAAAGAAACATGGCGGCGATAGACGAACCGCAGCAATGTAAAGGTACCAGCAACGTATCTATAGTTACTGGTATCGCGAGCTGTAAACAATTTTGACCCGCGACAAAGAGGAAGAGAAATAAAAAAATATCGAAATCGTGTTCTTGGTTACTTTTTCTGAATATGAAACTAATTGCCGCGACGTGACAGTACGACCAAGTTCACCTCTATAGTTCTTAACAAAGGCGTAGCTGACGTTATCCAAAACTGATTTAATGGTATGGATCTACGTCTCCGTAAGTTTCGATAACAAGGGGCGGCTCTTCAAACTGGTGAATGGGAGGGGGAGAAGACAAACACCACTCAAGAGTCTGAAAGACTTCTGGAATCACAACTTGAGGGTCCTCGGTTGGTTTGTTTCTTGCGGGCACGCCGTGAACTGTGCCATCAGACGAGAATCGGACGACAGCATAGCGGATAGCGCTAGTTCTGTTGACTGCACAAAAATGGACATACAGTAAATTTAAGTGTGGAATGAACGATGATTAAAGCAGCGAGAGCGATTGCAGATGCACAAGGGATACTTACCAGCCTTCAGGGCACGCACGGACTGGCTGATGAGGCTCATTGTGTGGGGAGAGTTACTTGCTTCTAGTCTGACAATAAATTTTATGAGCGGACGAGGGCACGTCCCTAATCTCGCAACCCGCCTCTCTTTATATAGCTGCTGTATAAATTCTTCGTGCCCTCAAAAGGAAACTGCTTGAAGTTTAGGGACTATAGTGACACAGTTGGTGGTGGAATAATTTAAATATCCAAACAGAGTTAAAGGCATCTGGACAAATCTTGGCAAATCTGTGAATGAAGTCGTGTTGAAGGTGGCGGCAGGCTAGCCTCGATGAGTCTGGAAAGACCTGTTCGCAGCATTGCCACAAGATTTGACGTCATTGGGCTGCTGTTATTGTTGACTGGTCATGCCAGTACCGGTACATGTACTTACCTTCGCATTAACTTTTTGTATAGTGTGAAAAACGTAAATTTATTGGTGTCTGTAGAATCCACTTGTGCTTAATGAAGCGAGTGCCTGCATTATATGAATAAATCGGCAATATGCTATACACAATCCTTTTTTTCTTTTAAGTATATGGAAAAACTTTGTTTGGTGTTAGTCAAGCCAGCACGATTGCCAGGGTACCCAATATTGAGAATGTTACGTCAGGAGCCAAAACTGTACCAATTATGTAATTGTTTATGTAATCATGAGGTTGAATGCTAACAGGGTTTTTTCTATTTTGTCGAATGGGGCCAGGGCGTCGCGCTTCTCCACTCATTATTGGATTTAAATCTGCACGGCGGCCAACGACAGGAAGAAAACCCCCTGCTGAGCTATGTCGGATGAGGGCAAGCCGGCGGAAGACAGGGCCAAGAGCGCGAGCGACCTGGCGCAGCAACAACTTCAGCAGCAGCAGCTGCAGCTTCT